TAGAATTAAATATTTAATAAATTTATGTAATAATTTATTAATTCATAAATAAAAATTAAAAAAATTTTTGATTTTTGAAATTTAAAACTTGGTGTTTTCTTATTTTTGAAATGGAACATACTTAATATCTTAGAAATGAAATTTTCCCTTACAAAAATATAATTTGAAACCCATTTATGCAAATCTTTGAAAAACTAAGGAGTTGTTCTCTTTATATTTCAGTTTTGTGTTTTTAATTTTGAATTCATTTTGGATTTTGTGTTTTAAGTGTCCATTTTAAGATTGTTGAAAATGTGTTCTTTTTGACATTTTGAAAAATTGTTTAAAAAAAAAAAAAAATGAAAAACCCGTTTACTTTCTCGTCTCCCTCTCTCTCGTCTCTCTCTCTCAAGTGATTGAAAACATTCAAAACGCATTTTGAAAATTTTGACTTGATTATAACTAAAAACACTCAAAACCACGAATTTGCCATTGAGTTTTCTTTGTAAATTTTTAATTTGTTTTCAAAAATGCGTTTTCTAAAATAAGAAAGAGAATGCGTTTTCACATTTTTGAATTATTGAAAACAGAAAACAACTTGAAAATAGCAAAGAGAACATGCCATCAGCGTCTGTTCTTTTTATTGTTTTCAAGTCATTTTTAGTTTTCGAAAACACGAAAAACACGTTTACTTACATATTTTCATAAACAAATTTTAAAAAACGAGTTTAAAATTTACAAAGAAAATGGAAAACGTAAAAAAAAAAATCGCTTTGACCGTTTTCAGTTAAAACCAAGCCAAAACTTCATTTTTTTTATTTTTGAAAACAATTTTACAAAATAACAAAAAAAAAAAAAAAGGCATTTTCAGCAATCGCAAAATGGACACTCGAAACACAAAATTCAAAAGTAAAAATTGAAACACGAAAAGAACGGCCACTAATGCTCCACGTGAAATGGGACATATGACATTGACTGCAATTTCCTCTTTCTAATAACTGTAAAATCCCAAATTGGCAGGTACTCAAAAAATAAAAATAATTTAAAAAAAAGAGAGATAATAATGATAAAAAGTTTGATGTTTCAAAGTAAAAACTTGAAATTTGTCAAAATACTGTAGGACGAGTTTGCATTTCTTGTCTGTCCTTGTTAATCTTTGATAAATTGTTGGAAAATCTCGAGAGAATTGGAGTCTAAAAGTTGAACATCAAAAACTTCTTGTTTTTCCTTTGTATTCCAAATGGAGGCTTGAAAAGCATATACGTTACACTCATCTAAGATCTACGGTTACGGTTAGAGATTACTTTCGGCTTGACTCCAACAAGTAGCTTTAACGAACATGACGAGCCTTTTATGAATTTGTACAAAGTAAAATGGAAAACTCACAAAAAGAACTTGAACAGTTAATTTCTAGAAATCGAGATTTAATTTATATATATAGATTCTTTATGCTCAAGCATGATCACAACCCTTCAAAAGGGAAGTGTCTCATCACAAAAAGGTGAAAGTTTCCCCCAAGAAATGCACAACAGAAAATCAGATTTGGTGCTGGTTGGCTTAGACAGGCATGCATTTAGATCCCAATGTAAAGGAAAAAAAGCAACTTTTGAGTACCAAAAAAACATTAAGAGATTCTCAACTGCTGTAAAGACGGATAAAAATAAGACATATATATAAATACATACACATGTTTGTATGTATAGACATTCTTAACACTATAACTACAGCTGCTAAGGCTTTTCTATCCACAAACATCAGTTTCATCTGTGATTTGTATGGTGCTGTAGATTGTCCATCATGAAAATGCTCCATTGTACATGAGCTCAAAAAGATAGATAGGAACCGGAGTTTGTTTGAGCCAATATCAAACATCGAGAACATGGCAGCAAAACAGCCCTATGTGGAGAAAAATTTCTCGTTTTTATTAGAAAGTCCCAGAATATAAAAGCTAACCTTTAGGCAGATACTAGCAAAATTTACTTCTATTTCTCAAGCACTTGACTCTTTTCTCTTCTTGATTGTTCTACTCCTGGTGATTCTTGGGTTTTCAATAGCATTTGAACTGGGTTGCATTGATGGACTGTTGGGCCTTGGAATTGAATCACGAGCTGTTTCATTACCTGCTATGCAATCTGGCATTGGAATATCTGTTGCACTTTCAGAAGAAGGTTTTTCATAAAAAATGGCAGAATCGAGCGCATATATGCGTAGAGCAAGGCCAGAGACTGTGGAGGTCTTAGCAGCAGTAGAAGGAGACGACCAAAACCACCAATTATTTTTCAAGTACTCACTTTTAATAGTGTCCTCAAGTGCGATTGACGCTAAAATCATCTGAAAAGAACAGGAAAAAGAGAAATAAATTTCTATAAGCTCCACAAAGAAGGGGCAAAAGTAAAATAGAAAAACTAAAGAGATTTTAAATTACTGGAAGAATGTAATCATTTGCAGGGAAGTGCATGTTTGGCAAAGCTTAAATAAAGTTGGTAGAACATACTCCCTCTGTCCCATAAAGATAGTCATTTATAGATCAAGAAAATTTAGTTAATATAATTGAAATATCATTTTCCCTATTATAATCCTATATTAACGTAATTAATATTCAAGGTAATTAAATTATGTATGCTATATTGGGTTAATTTCACAAACTGTCACTGAAGTTACCTGAAAATCACAAAACGGTCACTAGAGTTTAAAACTTGCAGAAACGGTCACTGAAATTTAAATTTCTTTAACAAACTGTCACTAAATTTTCAAATTTTTTAGGCAATTTTTGCAATGATTTTC